TGGATGCTGCGCGCTGGTACAGGACAGAAACGTGAAACAGGACGTTTCCTGAGTGAGTCAGAACCCCCGATCCCTTTGCCTCTCGTGGATTGAATTATTGGGGATGGGATCAAATCTGCTGCTCGTGTTAACCTGCACGTCCCTGCAAAAGGCATCGACAGCTGCGGTGTGCGGCTGCAGCTCCGGCGTTTCATCTGGCGAGAGCCCCCCCAGCAGTGCCCGTGTGGCTGGGTGCTGGCATCCCCGGGCAGTGCCGCCTTCCCGGGGAGCACTCCCTCCACACAAGTCTTCTGCTGAAGTGCAGATGTGAATTAGGGAGATAAGTTATATTAGTGAGTGGTGCAATCTCATATTCCCTCCCCACAAACAGCACCCTCAAGGAGTCTTCTCTGCTCACATAATGCCCTTTTTTCTTTTTAACCTGCATAGCTGTGCCTTAGCAGAGTTTTGCTCTAGGCAGATGGGCAGACGTTCCCGTGATTTAATTGCTTTTTCCTTTCAAGAGAGGGTGGGAAATTAGTTCAGTCCAAAGTGATTTAAACAAGCTATGTCTGCGAATGAGGGCAGGCTGTTGGGTCTGCAAACCAACAACTCCCGAGTGCGGCAGAGAGCAGCGAGCATCAAAGTGCTGCCCACAGGATCCCCTAAACCTGCCTCGCCTCCGCCTTGAGGCAGGGCGCCCCAGGTCTGCAGGGAAGGTGCAGCTTGGCCACCCTGCTGCTGGGGCTCTCAGGGACTGGGGGTGCTGGTTGGTGCTGGATGCCCCAGTGCCGTTGGTGTCTGAACACGGGTGGGCTGTTGGGCGCTCCGATAGTGCTGCTGCATCCCAGTCCCGCTGCTCTCAGCAGTCGCCTGGGAATCAGGAACCCTTTGTGTCTTTCTTCATAGTACGGAAGAGTACTAAGAAAAATGTGTTTGCTAGGCCCTTGTTACCCATCGGGAGGCGATAGCGGAGGGCAGTGGCTGCTCCCTTTCTGTGCCGGGCACTTTGCCCCGGTACCGGTGGCTGGCAGCGCTGAGCTCTCCAGCCCGGTGCCATCCTGTGGCTCACCAGAGGAATAACAGCATCTCGCTTACGGAGGTCTGGTAAAGCTGGTTTTGTGAAGATGAGACATTTCTGCATTATTCCTTGTGATTCATTTGTGCTGGATGTAGAGGATCCAGTTCGGCTTTGACTTACGTTGTCTACGTAGCCGAGCCTTTTTTCAGTAGTTTTCTTTCTCCTGCCAGCAAAGAGCTACTTTATCAAACTGATTTGTAAAGTAAAATATTAAGGCAAAGACATTAATATCTGACACCAGACAAAGCTGGAGAGAGCAGACTATTCCAAATAAATCAGATGCACAAAAGGATTATGATGTCGGGTAGTGTACAGTCCAATGCACTGGCTTTTTTTTGTGCTGTATTGCTGCATATGCAAAATGTCTTACTTAGATAATTGATTTAATTCCTATTCTTTGAACAGGTTTAAAAGCTGTTTGTGGTGACTTTAGACAAAGAAGAAAAGCAACAGCGTTTGAAAGATCTTCCTAAAGTTTTTGAAGACAAGGGCAGTTTCAAATGAGGTTACCCTAGTAATTAGGGATTATCTGTGTTCCATGGGAGAATAAATTGAAGTATCAAGCTTGAGCTGCTCAGAAAGGCTGGGATCTGCTACAGCGTTTAGCAGCTTGCCTCCCAGTGAAATCAGTGGGACTCAGGCTTTTGAATGCTTTTGTAAATCAGAGCGCGAAAGTCTGTCACTGTAAGGTGCTGAGCATAGTGGCTCTTAATGGATTTGAAAGGGCTCATCCGCATCTTTAAAATTAGTGATAGATTAGTGGTGGAGCTGGACTCAGAACTGAGGAATTCCTCATGCCTGAGCATAAGTCATGGGTCAAATGTTTCTGTCCTTGTGTACTTTGCCTCTTGAGCACTCACAGGGACTTTGGTGGACAGCAGCTTGCAGGTGCAGCCCTTCTCTTAGTGTGCGTCAGGTGGTGCGTGCTGGTCTTTAGCTGGTCACGGTGTGCGTGAGGCACCCAGTAGGTGAACCAGCAAGGTAGGAAACCTGGTAAGACACCTATTCGCTGGTACAACTGGAGTTCAGTGTCCTTAGAGGTGCTGGCGTGGTGTATTGTCATACACTGGCCCAGCTCAGTCACAAGATATAGAAATGCAAGGAGAGGGACTGTGGCCAACTGAGGATGTGCGGGGAAAAAAATCATATATGAGTCTAGACTGACCTGCAAGTGTTTTTCTCCAAAGGTATTGTTCTTGATGGTTAGGTTGTGTTGGTTAAGTACATCTGATCAAGTATATCACGGCTGTGGTTCCAGGTTGCCTTTGAGAAAGACCACCAGGTGAATGCTCTTGTGCTTAAGTGATTCCTGTGTTATTCTTGATAGGTCTCGCCAAAGATTCAGTCCTATGAAACTCAACTATGGGGCATGCTCATGGGGAAGAGATCACAGAAGGGGATGTGTGACACAGGGGTTGGTACCGACATGTTTCAGACTGAGTGGACGGGATGTTGCATGCTGAAGGAAGACATTTCTTTAGCTGCATGGAGGCCAAAGCTTAGGAGTTTAGCACCGTTGATACTACGGGAGGGCAAGTAGGGATGCTCAATGATTTGAAGATTTTTTGAAGCATGACTTAGTGCAGGTTCCCAAAATTTAAAGTCATGAGTCGCATCCTCAGAATATTTTGCAATTGGTTCCAACACGTACAAAGCGGAAGCTGTTGCATTTCATTTTGATTCTTGAACTCAACTCCAGCCTGCCATGCAATGGTCCAAACTCATCACTTGCTGGTTGTCATGTGCTATTACATCTCACAAGAGAAGTCAGTAAGATTTCAGGCCTTTTCTGCACGTAGGGTCTACCACATCCTCCCTTTCTCCTGGTCGTTATCCTGCTCTTCCCCTGCCACTCAATTTGACCTCATCTAATTTTAAAACTTTTCTCAATTCATCCAGTGCAGGTCCCAGTTTGCAGGGGAGGCATGCAGTGGTGTAGGAGAGGGAGGTGACTGGCCCCATGTAGACTAGCCTGGATGTCTGGGAATTACCTGGGCAGGTAATTCCCAGGGAGCAAAGCTACTGGGAACTGCCCAACACACCTGTGGGACAGGTGTGAAATAAGGCAGGTTGTACTGAACTATGTCGAAAAGTGTATTTTCTGGAGAAGGCACGTCACTGGCATAATTTCTGTAACCTTCCACCTCTCTATTTGTTACTCTTCCCCCAGTTGTCCCCTGCGTCGTATCTCAGTGGAGTGTCTGGAGTGGCTGCGCAGAGCCTTGCAAGACAACGTATCGTGTTCGGAGAAGGCACGTCATCCAGGAGCCCAGGAATGGAGGAGAGGCATGCCCTCCTCTGGAGGAGAGGGCTGGCTGCGTGGAGTACTGGACTCAGCAAGGAACAGAGTGCAAACAGTCCCTGAGTAAGTCCACTGAAAATGTAAGTGTCTGGGTAATCGGGGGGAGGACTCTTGGCTGGGTCAGCAGAACTGATCTTTCTTTACTGTATTTGAAAAGAGTTGTTTTCAGACACCAGCATGTTTGCTCTGGCCTGTCTGCTGTAACTGAGACCTGAGCTCTTCACACAGGGGCTTAGAGATGTCCTTCCCGGGACAGTATTTGAAAGTGGTGCCTGCCATTTGCTGTGAGCTGCTGTGTTTCAAAAGCTTGTTGCAATCTCACTTATACAAGTGTAAATCTCTGGCAATTTTGATAGAGTTGGTAGATTTATGCCTGTTTAAGACTTCTGTAAGTGGGTGTTGAGCACTTTTTTTTCTTTTTTTTAATTTATTTTATGAGTCATCTGCAAAAAGTCATGAAGGAACAATACCCGTCAAAGGCCAGGTATGACTTCTTTGCACTGGAGCAGAGTGCAAGCAGAGGAGACCTCCAACTAGTTTGTTCAAATCAACTTTTCATGGCATACCTTCACCGATTTTTCAAAGAACTGCCTGTTGGTTTTGCTGGTATTTTGGGGTCAAAATCTGTCCAGTCTGGATGTTGACTGCAACTGCCTTCTTCAAACCTGTCAAGAGTTGGTATTAAGTGAATATTGCCTCCCCTCTCTGTCTTTTGGGTGTGCCTGATAAGTAGGATTACTCTGCTCAGGCAAAAATCTGGCAACAATACAGATTCTCTTTTTAGTGAATTGGTTGATGGTCACGGCTAATATGAAAACACAAAGTTAGAACTGTTTTTGTCTCCTGATGAAGATAAAACCGTATGACAATAAAGGCCCCTCTTTACTGTTTTGCAGACATAAACAGCCTTAGTGCAGCATTGCCACTTACGCTATGTACTCTTTTTCTTTGATATACACAGTCCCAGCATTAATAACAACAGGAGGGTTTGGAAAAGCGAGGAAAAAAAGAGCTGCAGCTGATGGCAATGAAAGAAGAGGGTAAGTTGGAAGCTGAGCACAGGGGGTCAGTCATACTCCACCTTCAGCATCTCTCTGGTTGCAGTTTTGGGCCCAGCTTTTTGCTGATCAGAATTGGCATTTCCCAGCAGAAGGGCAGCACTTCATTAGAGCAGGGTGTTGCTCTCCCCTCAGCAGCAGAAGTGCCTGCAATGCATCTGAAGGTTGTGTCTCTGCCTTGATGCAAGGCCAGTACAAGACTGAAATTCAGCTCTTTGTTCATGGCATCACTGCTGTTTAAGGTTGTGTGATCAAAAAGCCAAAGACAATTCACTTCAGCTCTTCCCAATGTGGAATCTGGTACGGTTTGCACTTTTTTACATAAATGGGATAAATTCTCAGGGGGCTGAGTTTGCTATATTGTTGCATGGAAAGCACATCCCTCTCCCATTTCAGCTCTCCTCGGCTGTAACACTGCCTGTTTTCCCCTGCAGCACTGTTGCATAGCACGGGTACAGGCAGGGTTGTGCAGAAAGCTCTGTTGCATTTTGCCTTTTGAGACACAGCCATCTCTGTGTGTGCTGCTCTGCCTCCGGGCTGGTGCCTCAAACACAGGGGAGCTGGCATCAGCCTTCCCAGTCCTCTTCTTTTCCAGCTGGGGTCATTGCTAGCAGTGACACAGTGCCGACGGGAAAGGTTTCCATGCTGTAACGCCTCATACACAGCTTTGCAAGCGAGTTATTCCCCAGGGGTTCTTACTGCAGTCCCTGGTGTTTTGCTTGTTTCTTGTTGAGAGCTGCCATTCCTGTAAGCACTGTATGGAGTTTCCCAGAGCGGCTCTTGCAGCATGAAGCAGCAATGCACTTGTTGATTTATTTCCCCATGTGCTGTTATACTTGTAAGTATTTCTATAGCGTGTGGCTGCATCCATCCCCCTCACTTAAGTGTCTGAAGGAAAGAGCATCTGTTCACCCTGAGCCTCCCTTGGGTTCCTCATTGGTTGAGCCTTCTCCCTGTAAAATTAAAAAATGTGAGCACAGCTCTATTGTGTTCCTATTTATCCTTGTTCTTTCCCTCAGATAAGACAAGGAAGCAAACTGCTCACATGGTTCAGTGTGATACTTGAAGGTGTCTGGAAATCCCCATGATGACTGATACAGAACCAGTCTAGACTAGAACCCAATTCGCTGCTGTGTTTATAGACGATTACTGAACTTCCTTGGTTTTCCCCTCCAAACAAGGCCAGTTCTTTTTGGCTTTTCTCTCAGGTTTGGTTAAAATCAGAAGCACAGAAAAGACTGAGCAGGGCAGAAGTGCTGTATCAATCTGGCAGCCCTCCCACTGAGATATGACAACCTCACTCTGTCTCTTAGGAGGGAGATCATCATAAGGAAAACTTTTACAGACAGAATCTTAGCTCTTGTCTCAAGTTGCTCTACAAAAGTCATTATAAGTAACTGAGAGTAGATGATGGAGAAAATGTGTTTCTGGAAACAGATACCAGGCATGGAATCAGAATTTTTTTGGCTTTAGTCAAATGCTTGGCCAATATGTGTCTCTATTTGTAAAAACAGATGCCAGTAATATCTGATATTTTTTGATATGTCAGTTGAAAACACCAGCAGAGTAGTTTTATTCCCCATTTAACCTTGTCAAAATGCAGTTACGCCACATGTTCTGGTTTTTATGACCTTGGGCGTGGAGGGGGGGGGTTGTTTGCTTTTTCTTTTTCTTAATTAATGATCTACGGTCACCCAATTTAGTCTGGCTCTTCCAGGGTTCTGATCTGGTTATTGAGCTAACCTACTTGGTTATTTTGGTTGCAGGTACTGTGTTGAATTCCAGCTTGTGGCCATCACGCCGGGCTGCTTGCACAGCCACCACTCGTACACTCACTGGATGCAGTATCTCAGGGAGGGCCACACTGTCTGTGTGGAGTGTCAGCACCCAGCTTTAGACTCCAGAAGTCTACATTGTTATGGGGATGGAAGTGGAAGCAAAAAGTAAGAGTTTTAGCTTTTGTTTTCATGTTGAATGTTTCATTCTTCTCCCTTGAACTGTTTGTCCCAGTTTCATAATGTGCTGCACGCAGCTTTCTGGAGCCCTCTACATTTATTAACTGGTCTTTGTTGCATACCATCAGTTTCTTACAGGGATGAAATGACCTGGTGAAGCTCATGTATTAAACCAGTGACAGAGTCAGAACTGAAGTGTGGGAGTACCTGCACTTAGTCTGCTAAATCTCACTGACTTTTAAGTGGCACAGTTGTGGAGTTTTTTTGTTTTAAAGACACTCCAGCCATGCTTCTAAGGTTTAAAGTCCTGTCAGATGTCAAATAAAACCAAATCTGCTTCAGATTTTTAAGCACTGGGGATTTTTTTCCTACAAGTGACACTTTATGAGTACTTCTGGCAAGTGGCAGCTGGCTTAGGGACTTGGGGTATGTGCTGGCGCCTGACGTTGGATGGAAGCACTGTTAGATCTTTGCACTTTCAGCATCCTTTCCCTGGAAAGCTGAAGAAGCTTTGGGGTGATTGATGGGGACCACCCAGGTTGTACAAATTGAGCAGATTCCAGCGAAGATGAAGGGAATGGCTTGAAGCTGTGAAACACATCTGTGGCAGAGCCAGCAACAGAAGAGTCCTGGCTCCCAAGTCTCTGCTGTGGTCACTAGAGGCACAGCTTCTGCACTGCTTTTATCCTGATACTCCTAACCCCATTAATAGTTTATTAAAGGCGTCCTCTGAAACTGGTTAGCAGCTCTGCCTCAGAAAATCATTGCCCATTAGTGCTGGGCAGGAGTATTTTTAAAATTAATATAGATGTTGAAATAAGCACGTTCATTTGAATTAGAAACTCTAAACTAGGATTGTCAGGCCTCATGCATACAATGCATTGCATTACCAAGACTGCCAATAATGGCCTCTTTAGGCAGAGCTTTTCTCAGGCTTTTACTAAGAGGAAGCCACGTTAGTCTTTTCCTTCCTTGCCTCAGCTCATTATGTACAAAGGTTTGAAAAGCTTTTGGATAAAGAAGAAAAAAATCTTAACTGGTGTGGCCAGGAGTAGCTCTTACCTGCATTCAACATGTAAATGATTATAGAAGCTTACAATAATGTTATTTTACTAAAACCCTGGAGCCAGACGGGAACATCAGATTAAGTGAAATAAAAAATATATTCAGGAACTCATTTCCTCATTGGGCTGCAAAAAGAGGGGGGCATTTCCATTCGCCTGAGCTTGTGAACAGCACTGTATGTGGAATGGAAGGACAAAGAAAAGGGGACTGTGTCCTTTAGGAATGATGATCTGATCATCATGTCCTGGCAGGCTGAAGGCTGGAGAGGGGAGTGATAGTGGAGTTGGGGTGAATGGTGGCTGGTTTGCTGCAGTCAGGACTCAGCCCATATCTCAGCAGATGGTTTAAAACCATCCCAGTTGAGCAGAGCCTAGAAATTGTTCCCAGAGTCTTGCTGCAGGTCTGTAAGATGAACTGGTGGGTCCCTTTCATTATAGGCATGTGAGAGCCAGTGGGGAAGCCAACTTTTAACACAGTGAGCTTTTACTCCTCCAGCGTTACTGCCTATAATGCCAAATGAAGTCATGTCTATGGCATTTTCTAGGCAGGTATGAGCTCTCTGTGTGTGTGCCAAGCTGAGGTACTGTATGTGTTCACTTGGGTTCATTGCCAGGGTAGTAGTAACAGAAGCTTGGAGGACAGGCAGGGCTGGCCTGAGTGGCGGGACAAAGCTCCGTTCTACAGAAGGCAATCGAGATGCACTTTAAGCCTCCTTGAACCAGCAGTGCTGAGCGGCTTTGTCAGAGATGAATGCGTGACTGGCAGGTGGCACGTGAATGATGTCTCTGGTCTGCAGCTTCCTCATCTTGTGTGTGTGTGCAAAGCCTCCCTTATGTTTCATGTGGATCTTTTGGATAACTCCCATATATCTCCTAGATAGGTAACCTCCAGGGCAGGGTCTGGTGTTCTTTACCAGAAATAATATACTACTTTTACCATGTTGCATGGAGGAAAAATCTGACCTCTGTGATCTCTGAGAAGAAATTGGACTGTTGGTGGGGACACAGCCATTGAGTGGCATGAGTCTGTGAAAGGCTTCTGCCTTCTGTTAGAGCAAGTGGCCATATCTGAGCGTGTAATCTTGCAGTGCTCTGAGGGGGTCGCATGGTGCGCTCCTCAGGCTGGGATTCACTGGCCAGACATGGAGGGCATAAATGTGGTGCTTGTAAAGAACGGTGGAAGAGGATGGGAAAGCAACTGCTGCCCTGAGAAAGAGGATGATGGGAGGCCAAGGCTGATGCCAGAGCCTAGGATGCAGCACGTATTGAGTTTGCCTAGATCTCCTCACAAGTCTCTGGCTGTATACTCAGTTCACCCTCATTTTGTATTTTTGCTGGTGTAACTCTGCCAGGAGACGTGGACGGTTTGTGGTAACCTCAGAGCGGTGGTTGTGCCGGCTGGCCTGTGCCATCGTGCACTGGCCTGGGTCTCTGGGGCTGCTGGCGGAGGCCGTGCGGGGAAGCTGCACAGCTGCTGCCGTCCCACCCACGCTGTGCCTGCGCTTTGCTTCTCGCCCTGTCAGTTCGGCAGCTTGTGCTAGCGTTCAGTTCAGTTCCCCAAGATATTGTTCCAAGAGTGACTCTCAGGAAGGAAAACATCTGACGGAGTTTAAAATAAACTCAGCAATGCTGGTAGATTTTGATGAGTATTTCCTAATTATCTTCTTGTGTCTAAGTGGAGTCTGGCTTATAAAAGCTTCAAGTTAAAGAGGGATGCTTGTTATCTGTGCCTTCCACCTGTCTCCCACTCTGTAGAATATGCTAGTTCATTTTAACCCCTGTTATGCAAGCTCAGGAGGTTTCCCAAAGTCGTTGATTTATGGCCAGATCTGTGGCCATCAGGTGAGGCTAGCTGGGATAATCTAGCTTGCATTGGCTGCTTTCTTCCAGAAGGGTTTGAGATAAACAAGGCAGAGCACCAAGCTGGGAAATTGATCTGTTAATTTTGGATCGTCTTCAGAAAGACCTACAAATCAAGCACAGACTTGACATCTGTGAAATTGTTACTCAGCCTGTGCCTAGGAGGATCGGCTGCTCTTCATCATCTGGAGCAAGATGTGGCGGTTGTAGCACATAGATGTCCAGACTGCAGCAGTTTACGCCCATGCTTATGGGGCGGAGTGAGAGAGAGGATGGATGGAGACTTGATTTATAGCAAAGTAGGTATTTGCTTTCCCACCAGCAAGATGAGAGTAAGCAAGTTTAGCTTATGTGTTTAAGGAGTAAAACCTTTTAAAGGTAAAGCTGCAGCCCAGAGTTCTGAAGGGTATGAGACTGCTCTGTGTGCAGCCTGCTTTACTGGGGGTCTTAATCCTCCCTGTGCAGATTCTCGTATTTTGAAATGACCCCAAGCCAAAAGAAAAATACAGTGAGCCTTTTCCAACCATGTGTGATACCTAAAACCCTGCTCTGGAGCATGACATCTCATTAAACCAAGGACAGGGTTATCTTTGCAGAGCTAGAGCAGTAATTCCAGTTTCCACAGAACTATAAACCAAGCAGAGGTTAGGGGTCTGTTGGGCTATTCCGTGGGCAGCTCTCTGCACAGGGCAAGCGTTGAGCCATTTGTGGTTGTGATGGGTTGACCTCGGCTGGATGCCAAGTGCCACCAAGCCGCTCTGCTCCTCCCCCCTTCAGCAGGCACGGTGTTTAGATGGAAAAGAAAAAAACTCGTGGGTCAAGATAAAGGCAATTTAGTAAAAGAAGAAGCAAAGGCCATGTGTGGTAGCAAAAGGAAAATAAGATTCTGTTCTCTACTAACCAGTAGGGGGTGATGTCCAGCCACTTCCCAGGAAGTAGTGCTTCAGTACACATAGCGGTTGCTCTGGAAGACAAAACGTCATAAAAAATGAATGCCCCCCCTTCCTTCTCCTTTCCCCTGGCTTTTATCTCTGAGCTGACATCACGTGGTATGGAATATCCCTTTGGTCAGTTTGGGTCAGGGGTCTTGGCTATGTGCCCTCCCAAGATCTTGCCCCCTCCCAGCCCACTGGTGTAGGGGGGGAATGTTGGAGACACAGCCTTGATGCTGTGCGAGCACTGCTCAGCAGCAGTCAAAACACTGCTGGGTTACCAACACCTTTCTGCGTACCGATAGAAAGCACTATGAGGGCTGCTACGAGGAAAATTAACTTCATCTCAGCCCGACACAATACAGTGGTATTTGTGCTTCTCCAAAGGTCAGGGCTGGGACACACTGAGGTGAGGAATTCCCTTAAACCACTAAATGCTAAAATCTGGGAAGGGGCACAGTGCTATAGCAAAATCTGAGTTTCTGAGGCCTTTAGGCCAGCATTGCTTGTGCAGCTGCAGATTGTGAAAAATGGCCTGTGGATCTGTTTGGTTGTTTTAATAGGATATTTCTCTGTTCAGTTTTGGTCAATGTACTGATGGACAGCTTGGGAGGAAAGGAGTGGGTGAGTTGGTTGGTTGGTTTTCTGTCCTCTACGTAAGAGGCTTGTGAGTAACCTCGTTCCAACATGTGCGGGTCTGGTACCTCCAGCCAGCTGCCATCCAGAAGCTGTGTTAGTGTGTAGTTCTTAGCAAGGTGGAAAAGCTTAGGCAAGTGTTCCACTGAGGTGGTTATCCAGAGATGCTCATGTCTCTGCACTGCTCACCCAGACATGTGCTGTGTATTGCATGCTAGGTACTTGTTCAGCATCTTGATGGCTATGGGTGGCAATAGAGCTCTGCCTGCTGTGAAGGAGCCTGGTGTTGTAAAGAAAAATGGAGAAAGAGGCGTTTTGCCCACTTTGCAACCTGTCAAGTGTTTCAGGAGGTTATGGGGATGTTGGTGTGCTTTGTGAGTTGTTGCATACATCACTGGGCACCTTGAGGGAGTGTTTCTATGAATCCTTTTGAACTTAACAGCTACCATATGTGCTGCTCTGGGTTCTTCCAGTGATTGACTGATTCCAGTTCTTGACTGATTGTGGCTTTACTTCACACTGTTATAATCCTATGGGGATCACTGTGGTTGCCCCTTCTTTATAGCAGTAGAAAGGCAGAATTGGGTCCATGGAGTGAAAAATCAATATTGGCAAACTAAATGGGATTTACTGGGTGATTTAAGCCCTCATTGTACAAGTGACTTCCCTGCAGCGGAGGTGCAGCACATTAACTTTCTCCCTCTTATGATTGTGTTTCAGGAATCAGCTGTTGCACTGGCAGGCAGTAGGGAACCCTCAATGCAAGGGAACCTGGAAGAGAATTCGCCAGCTGGACACTTGCTCCTGTCCTTCTGTTCACAGCTTCTTGTTCATCTAACTTCTCTTGACAGTCCCAGCAAGCGAGCACTGCGATGGCTTGTCTGGCACAAACGTGCAGCAGCAGTAGGAACCACAACCAAAACAATGACTTCTCCATGCCAGAGGCTATGCCACTTGATTTCAAGAGGTTGCTGTCTGCACTGGGGCATCCAAAATCCTCTCTGTCCGTGTGTACTCCTTGACTTTCAAAGAAATCAGGCTGCACCTGAGAGAGGCCTGCCTGACCCTGATGACTTCTTGCAAATTCCCTCTTTCTTGAGAGGAATGAGAATTCACCAAATAAGAAATTGGACAAAAAAGGCCATATGAACTCAGATTTAATTATTATTTTTCCAAAGTCTCAATGAAGAATCAACAATGCAGAATAAATTAACTCAAGTGCCTTCCTTTCACGGCAACGGCACTTCTTTATGGATGCTTCCTGCTTGTGCTTATATAACTTTTACTTTTGTTTTCACCTTCCCTGGTCTCATCATTTCATACTGATCCTCGGTCTTACAGACAGTCGATCTTGCGCTGCTCAGATAAAACTTAGAAATGAGCCTGTTCAAATCTGTGTGAATAGAAGGTACCAGGGATAAATGGGCCCTTGGACTTCAGGTTTCAAGGAGCATCTCCAAGTTGCCCAAAAAGGCAGGGCAGTCCTGGGGCTCTCAATTGGAAGTCATCCCAGCTGTACCAGGAGGACTAGCTATAGCCTTGTATTTTCAACTGGAAAATATTTGAAATATTTTTTTTTTATTCTGCTGATTTGTATTCATACTTTTCTATAAATGAAAATAAAGGTGACTGGAGATGTTCTCCCAGTGTCTGTCTATTGATTAATCTGTGCAGTGCCATCTTTTAGTGCCTGAACCTGCCTAATCCAAACCTGTCAATCTTGCCACTGACTCGTCTGTTCCAGCAGGTAAGACAGGAGGAAAAGTCAAGGTCAGTCACTGCTGTCCAGTCCTACTCAGGATTTGCAGGTGGAAGTCCAGCACCATGACCTACCGCTATGCAGAAATGGATGTGATATTTCTTTTGATATACACGCAGTTCTGAATCTGCTTTAAATAAAATTACAGAAAGGACTTGCACTTTGTGGCAAAGCAAGGCGGTGAGGAGCGTCTAAGTAATTGAATTTGTCAAAACCCAGGTAGTGGCTGGGGCTGGCTCCAGAAGAGAGTTTTAATGCTCAAGTCTGACTCTAATCTATATTTAGATCATGAAACCCATCTAGTGACCATGTTGAGGGTCCTTCAGGAAAATACTGAAGGGCAGTGCGTATATGTTCTGGAGATGCTTAGCAGAGTATGTGTAGTATGGCACTGAGAGGCCTGAAAGCACATGATGCCTCTTGGCCAGTACAGTAGGGATTTGAGAGCAAGGCTTTGCTTTTCATTGTGTGTTACAAGCTGTCTCTCTGGATTAATGACTCACAGCAGGGTGATCTCATCCCAGAGTAGCAAGATTGGGCTGCTCAGAAATAGCATTTTGGGTCAGATTGCTACAGAATCTGGGCTTGATTATATTTTTTGGATGTTCACAGTAAGTTTGCTAAAATGCATTTTAGGTTGACTGCTTGAAACTGCTTGTGAATTCATGCCACATTTGATGATTATTCCTCATAGGTGGAGACAGAGGAAAGAGGGGGATTTAGAAGTGGTGAAATGTTTTTGTATCTCCTAAGTGAAGTGTCTTCATCTTTGATTTTGGAATTTTATTTCAAGATTGAAGCAATCTGAGTCAAACAAAATGTCTCATTCACCCTCCTCATTGCTTTCAAGTTTCTGTTTCAAGCAAATACCGGGAGATATAAACCCTCATTTTGAATTGACCAAAATTATTTATTTATCAATAGTATTCTCTTTTGGGTCTTGCTTATGAGGCAGCCGTGATACTAAATTACTAAGCACAAAATAATCAGTTCCTATGGCCAAAACTTTTTGGTTAGGGTTTTTTTTTTTTGCTGCTGCCTCATCCCTGACAGCTGATAACATGAGGTCCTAACAAGAGCTGCTGATGGTGGCATGGTGGGACTTGCAGTCTTTTGCTTCTGTCACGGTAGCCTGGGGATGCAGGAATATGAAAGAATTAGCCCTCGCGGGACCCTTAGAGCAGTTGTATTTCTACACAGGCTATGTCACTTGATGAAACAAGACACTGCAAATGCCTCAGTGCACCAGCACATCCTAAAAAAAGGCTGTGCAGTTGTGCTGGCTTCACCTCCACACCTTGGGTAACTGTACAGACAGATCCTGTCGGTAAATTCCTGGGGGAAGGAAGGAGAGATGCAAGCATGTGTGAGAGCGAGTGAGCAAGAGTGAGCTTTTTAAGTAGAAGATAATGAAGTTGTCAGATCACTTTCCCTGCAAATGAAGATTAGCTCATGATGTAGACACATACTGGGTCCTGCCTGTTTCCCTCTAGGGACTTTATCATCGTCCATCGTAATAATCTCCGTAATTTCTACAGCCTGGGTTTTGGGAAGGATAAGACTAACGCAAATCCAAGGCAAAATGCTCCTGAAAAATGGCTTTGTACAGTAAACAAGCAAGGCAGCCTCACATCGAGGAGAGGCTGTTCACTGAAGATCACAGCCGTTCCCATGACAACGCTAAAACCTTTCACCACTGGGTATCAACAGGAGAACATCTCCCATGGCAAGTACATGAAGCCAGGAGCTTAGTCCTCATCTGCCATAAATCATCCTGTTGGGCACCGATAATGAGGAGCTGCCAGTTGTGCGCACGCAGCTTCTAGGCACCAGCCTGGCTCCGGATGAAAGGAAGAGCGAATAAAGCCAAAGCACCAGCGAGTTGGATTTATGTAAAAGGAAAATTAAGCTCGACTGATGTTCCTACACTTCCCTCTGCTCTCCAGCTGAGGTTCTCAATTTTTAATGATGAAAAGCCAAGCAAAAAATCCAGGCCATTTTACAAACTGCTGAAGAAGCCACGTGATTTTCTCTGTTGTAGAGAGATCTTTCATCATCATGGGATGGAGAGAGAGGGAGGCCCTGGGAGAATTCTGCTTTTCTTCACCCTAACCCTGTAGCATCCAGCCTGTGATTCAACAGTTTTCTTCTGCATTTGAAACAAGGTGGTAAAAGACCATTCTTTACCATGGGATCTTCATTAGGCCTATCAGCTCCCCGAGTGTCAGGGTACATGGGATTGCAGTCATCTGAATGTATGAGGATCTGCTTCCTTTCTCAGGGAGAAATCCCTTGCTCATTTGGAAAAAAGAAATAAAATATACCCAGAAAGCTCAGGAGCCAATGGTAGAGAAAAAGAACAACAACAAAAATTTTCTTAAATAGCCTTGTTGCATTAAGGGCAGACTATCTTTTTTCTTTTGCTCAATGGCCAGAGGAGTTGAGCACATTCTGCCTGAATGGTAGGAGTTAGCAATACTTCTCCATAAATGAGACTATTCTGTTCTCTTTAGCTTTTCAAACCTAATTTTTTTTTATCCTTCATTTTGAGTATTTTGAGTCTTCAAATGTTAAGATCACTAACTCTTTTTTTCTTTTTTTTTCTTTTTTTTTTTTTTGTGAGGAAGGGTTTTTTTAAGTCCTTTCCCATTATAACATTAGTTGCTTGGTGATAGTCATGATACTGCAAGTGGAGGAGTAGAGGTGAGAAAGGAGAGGAGAATCTGAACCGGCAGATTATTCTGTTCTGTAAATATGTCTCATGCAGCTCAAAACTACAAACCCAAATATTAATAAGATTTTTTATTTCTTTTTTAAACACTCTCGTTCTCCCCTTCTCAAGCTGGGTGAAATATGCTCACTTATGAAGACTGTTCCATGTATTCTGCAAATCACCACCTTTTTAAATCCACAGGGATGTGCAGGGTCTCTGGGCTGCCCATCTGTGGTACCTCCACTTGCGCTTGTCCCGTGATGCCTGTGCTCAATTTCCCGTGACATCAGTGGGACCTAAACAGGCATTCAGGGTAGGATGTGCTTGGCTGTGTCTTGTAAACATCTTACATTGATATTGGAAAGGGAGAAAGGTGGAACCATGGTGCAGTTTGTCCATGTCTGCTGATAAATAGCACGATATTACCCCTTTTCATGGCTTCAGGCACAGTGTGTGACCCCCCACTCCCCCAAAGTTCCAAACCCTGGTCCATGCTGGAAAGGAGGTGCAAGGTTTCTTTTTATCACCGTTCCCTAATTCCCAGACTGGAAGAGCTGATCCCGGTGCAGAGGTCAGCATCGCTCCGGTTCTGTGCATTGTTTTTTTGCTGTTACTTGCTGTGCTCAGTGCTTGTTTTACTTGAGCTCTGCTGTGGCCTTTCCATACTACTAATTGTGTGCTTTTGAATTACTGGAAGGGTGTTGTAGGGTGATGCCAGCACTAATGGGCTTTCACCTTCCTTCAATTTCATAACAGTCCTCAGACCAATTAACCAATTCTTCATTTATTCCTTGCGCCGTATTTCAGCTGTTACAGGCAGGGCAGAAGCTGCCTGAAATACAGGAGTTGCTCAGTTCATTCTACTGACGGTGAAAGCTGATGCTGGTCTGGCTTGCCTGGTCCTGTGCCTTTCTGCTAACCCACAAGCTAAGGCTGGTGAGTGAATGCTCAGAGCTCCTGTTTGAGAGCACAAAGTGGGACTGGACATCTTCCCCCTCCGAGTGTGAGCCTGTCTGTATCCATGGTGGGCTTCCCTGAAGCAGCACCCATGACCCAATTCAGCATCCCTGGCTGCTGGGACAAGCGGTGGGATGTAGGAGAACATCTCCAGGAAACAGTCGTCAATTGTGTTAGAAGGATACTCGCTGGAGAAACTGGGCTTCTCCAACGTGACAACAGGATGCTGTTAATTCTCCTCTCTCTGTTTTGACTCTGCCTGGCATTGGGATGCAATATGGAAGCAGATCCCTGAAATGCTTGAACAGTGAGGGTGGCTTAAAGCTCGATTTCAGTTCAAGAGGATAAATGAGTGAGTAGTTTCACAAATGATGCTCAGGCACAATGTGCGTTACCTCACCCACTGCTCCCCCCAGCTCCCTGCTGGGGCATTGACTGTGTGTGTTTGGGCACAGCAGTGTGAAACCACAGCCTGTAATCACGGGTGGAAAGGGCCAATTGCATGTAGTTATGAAATCCCACGGCCGTGGAGCTTGTGTTCTGCTTGGCTTTTCCTCTTCGGTTGGTCTGTTTAGGGTGAATCCTGACAGGTACATGGGCTCATGTG